AGTTTCGAGCTTTTGACTCCGTTTTTCATCGTCTACGCAATGGGAGATTGAGTATTTAATTTTAAAGCTCTTTACTTCGTTTTTGCTCCGGTTTTACTTATAATATTCATTAGAGTAAATTGAATTTGATTGATGATGGTGGAAATGCTTGAACTTGGTTACTTGTTTGAGTAGATAGAGCCGTTAATTACTTGTTGATCTCGATTAGACGACTAGGGTTAGCAATCTAATGCTCGTAGCTCGTTTATTCCGTATGTCGATTGATTATCATCCCGTTATGGTTATGGCATGAGACTCCGGTGATCTAGTTTGCTAATTGCTCGATATTTGATCTTGCTTTTAGTTAATTGCTCGTTTTTAAGTGCTTAATTAGTGTTAATCAACAATTCAATCAATTGCTTAGAATGTTTAGGATCTTATTTTCGATTTTTGTGATTTGGACGATCATTTAGTAGACAAAGCTCCGAATAGCCTTCCTTCGAGATCGACCCGAGTCGGGTAACTCGGTTATCCCTTGCCCACCAAATTTATACGAAACAATTGTCCGTCTATATTCTAAATAAATAACACTGAAAATGAAATGTATGAGTATCAAAACAGTTTTGAATGTTAGAATGAAGTTGTCATTTCTTATAGAATTATTTATAATCTCATTGGTGTATTGCGCTTGAACATATGTGCAATTACTTTAGAGGTACTTTCAGGTAATGTATGGTGATTTCAAAAAATAATTTAGCACCTCGGGAGAAGTACATGTAACCCAGATTTTGGAAAGTCAACTTTTATTTGGAGATAAAATTTATTCCCACCTCGTGGAGCGATGCATCAATAGGGTAGACACCAATATATCTAGAGACAGAGGAATGTAAAATTAATTAAGAGGAATTAGTAGTTTATACAGTGATAAAAAATATCAGCAATTTTAGTGACACCGTTAGTTATTTTATAGAGATATTTATCCTTTATTAGTAGAAGTATCTTGTTATAAAGATCATGCGATCATGAAATTTGACTATATGTTGGGTCAGAATGTTTCTTAAGTATTTGAATAAAATTAGCATTTTGCCAAATTAATTAAGAGAAATTTTGCAATATTATTGATGTATTGGACTCCAACGACTATGAATGTTCTTATGAGAACGTCAAAACCAAAATGAAAGAAAATATTTGTGTTTTTTTATTAGAGATTTGTTTTTTATATATATTTTTGTTGGGGGTTGTAAAACGTTATTTCACTCTTTTTATATGAGGACATCATTACGTTAATTCTAAATAAAAAAAAAATCACATATGAGTTCATTTTTACTATATTTTACTTCATTTCTACAATGATATGTTTAATAAATTAATTAATTTATTTTGCAAACTTACTCCGCGAATATCATTCGACACCACGTGCATCGCACGTGCACTTTACTAGTAACTTAAAATCACTGATTTAATTTTCGAAAATTCTAACTTAATTTTTCAAAAACACTTTATCTTTCGCATGGGTGCTACTAAACTTTCTCACTACTTTATCTCTTTATCTCTTTCAAAACATATAAATATATATGCAACTATCTGAATTCTTAATATCTCCCGGCCATCGGCCGGTAACTCATGCATGCGTCCAAATCTAGTCCACTCTCGAGATTAGGTACCGTGGAACTACTGGATTTAAACATGCATAGTCTAATGTCTCATGATCTCATACATATCTGATAATGTGGAAGTTAATGATCAAACATACTTAATTCACAAACATGTTCAGATAAAATTTCATGACACGTTTATCAAATTATCCACTTGCGTTGACCACCACCACCTAGCTAAAGGAAAATCAAGGTATCCATAAAGGAAAAATAAGAAATATTTTTGTAAGCTTTCTTCATTGATGTAACATAGGAATATTTTCGGCTGCTACAGATCTGATGTGTTTCCTTAGATGAAACCACAGCTAATGAATATATATATACTCTTTGAGAGCCAATCCTAGCCACACAATAATAACCCTAACAAGATAAGATAATATCTATCATTTACAAACCAACCCTTGCTACTTTTCTCTCTCTCTCTCTCTCTCTCTCTCTCTCTCTCTCTCTCTCTCTCTCTCTCTTCGTGCATGTGCTCATTCCATGTCTGCATGGCATGGCGGTCTTCTTCCTCTTTTGTTGCTGATGTGGAATTAATACTAAGACTTTTACCCCCTTTCAATTTGAACAAGGGGTGAGAGATCACTCCCAATCTTTCTCTCAGCCTTGTGAAAAATTGTTTTGACAGTGGCTTTGGAAAGATGTCACTTACTTGCTCATATGAAGGGACATGTTGAACTAAAACCTGTTTGTTCATTACCTTCTCCCTTATGAAGTGTAAATCAAGTTGAAAATGCTTTGTTCTTGAATGAAAAACTGGATTTGCTGCAAGTGAGATGGCTCTTTGGTTATCTACCCATATAATGGGTATCCTGTCCAAACTAATCTGCAATTCACTGAGAAGATTCATTGTCCATAATATATCACAGACTCCATGTGCTAGGCTTCTATACTCTGCTTCTGTACTAGACCTTGAAACCACTGATTGCTTTTTAGAACTCCATGCTATCAAATTGTTGCCAAGAAAAAGACATGAACCTGAAGTGGACTTTCTGTCATCTGTATCTGAGGCCCAGTCTGCATCAACAAATGCAATCAGATTCATAGAAGTGCTGCTGTTGAATTTAAGTCCCATTTCCTTTGTTCCTGAGAGGTATCTGAGTATTCTCTTTACTGCCTTCCAATGAGTGCTTAAAGGTGATTGCATGTATTGACTCACCTTGTTAACACTATAGCTGATTTCAGTTCTAGTTATGGTTGCATATTGCAGACTTCCAACAAGAGCTCTATACAAGCTAGGATTAGGTAATGGATTACCTTCTGATTTTGAGAGAACAGGACTTGTTACCATTGGAGTATTAAGTCCTTTTGCTCCTTTCATTCCTGCTCTTTCAAGCAAGTCATCTATGTATTTTGATATTTTCATTGACTTAGAAACATGCCATCTTCTCTTCTGATAAATTCAACCCCTAGGAAATAACTAAGATCTCCCAAATCTTTCATAGTGAATTGAGATTTCAGTGCCCCAAGAACTTTGTTTATCTCTGAATTTGAGCTTCCTGTTATTATGAGGTCATCAACATATGCCAGTATCAGGATAGTGTGACCATCTTTGTTTCTAATGTAGAGAGAGCTGTCAGCTTTAGATACTACAAAGCCAAGGCTAAGTAAGTATCCTCCAAGTTTACAAGACCAGGCTCTTGATGCCTGTTTCAGACTATAGAGAGACTTTGTGAGTTTGCATACCATGTTTTTTCCTTTGAGGATTTCAAACCCAGGTGGCTGCTCCATGTATATCTCTGAGTCTATGTCTCCATTTAAGAATGCATTATCCACATCCAACTGTTTCAAAGGCCATCCTCTTGAAAGTGAGATTGAGAGCACTATTCTGACTGTTGTTGGTTTGATCACTGGGCTAAAAGTTTCTTGAAAATCCAAACCTGCTGCTTGATTATATCCCTTGGCTACTAATCGTGCCTTGTACTTTCCTAGGCTTCCATCAGCATTGGTCTTGGTCTTAAAGACCCATTTACACCCTATGGTGCTCTTTCCTGTAGGTAGTGGGCATAAGATCCAAGTGTTGTTTCTCAGTAATGCCTTGTATTCATTTTGCAATGCTTCTGTCCAGTGGGGTATAGACAATGCCTCTTCTATGCTTTCTGGTTCCTTGAGATCAGCAGAGATCATGTTGCAAGCTTTAGGCTTCTAGATTCCAGCCTTTGCCCTTGTAATCATGGGATGCTGACATGCATTTCTTGATTCAAAACAATGAGCAAGATTATCAAGGTTAGAACTATTCTCAATAGGTAACTCTATTACAATTTAACCACCTTCAGGTGATGAGGTAATGGAATATGGTGTATGTAGAGGAGTGCGTCTGGGTGTAGTGGATGGAGAATGTCTTGGTGTTTGGGGTGATGAATCAAGGTTCTGAGTCTGGGATTTATGGGGTGAAGTCTCAGTTGTCTGTGGTAAGGGAATGGTAATCAAAGGTGAGAATGACTTAGTGAGGTGTGGTTCACTTCTTGGCTTATCCTTCTGTTTTGACCAATGAAAGGATTTTTCATCAAAAACCACATCTCTTGAAATGATAACCTTGCCACTTGAGAGTTGTATTTTATATCCTTTGTATCTAGGTGAGTAACCAAGAAAGGTACTTGGCTGTGTTCTGAATTCCAGTTTGTTTTTATTGTATGATCTCAAGCAAGGATAAGCAAGGCATCCAAAAATTCTGAGATGGTTATAATCTGGTGTTTTTCCAGTTAGGACTTCATATGGTGAATGGTAGTTGATAACTTTAGAGGGAGTTCTGTTTATAATGTATACAGTAGTGGTAAATGCACTGTCCCAATGTTTTGTAGGAACATGAGAATTAGACAAAAGGGATAATCCTACCTCAACTACTTGCCTGTATTTTCTCTCAGCTAAACCATACTGCTGAGGGGTGTAAGGGCATGAAATTCTATGCTCTATCCCATTTTCAAGAAGGTAAGGTGACATGGCTTTGAACTCTCCACCTCCATCAGATTGAAGAGCTTTTATGCCTTTGGAAAATTGGTTTTTAATGAGGGAAACAAGATGTTTAAAGGCATTTATTGTATCTGATTTTTACTTCAACAGATAAATCCATGTAAATCTAGAAGCATGATCAATAAAATTGACATAGTAAAGATATCCATTCATGGACATAAGAGGTGCAGGTCCCCATAAATCACTATGCACAAGCTCAAACAAACCATACTCTTTATTATCAGAAGAAGTAAAGGGTAGTCTGTGGGATTTGGATTGCAAACATGGTAGACATAAAGTCTGATCATCATTCTCTGAAAAGGAAATATTACATTTTTAAAAAGCTCTCTTCACAATGTCTAAAGAGGCATGCCCTAATCTAGAATGCCAAACTGCAACATCTAGTCTATTATTAACAGAAGCTGAAAATGAAGATAGTTTCTCTGCAGTGGGTTGATATTGCTGAGAAGGTAAGGTGTTTTTCCAGGTTTCAAGGTGAAATTTGTAGAGTCCATTGTCAAGCTTGCCCTTGAGGAGGATTTGCTTGGTTTCCTGATCCTTCACAATGCAAAAGTTTGGGTGAAATTCAAAGAACACACTGTTATCCTTGCAAAGCTGTGACACACTTATGAGGTTTTTGGTAATTTTGGGAACATGAAGTAAGTTCTTTAGGGTAAAGCTGGTAGAAGATTGATAAGGTGATATAATGTAAGAGTTACCATAGTGAGAAATGTTCAAACCTTTTCCATTACCCATTTGGACCTTCTCATTTCCTTGGTAGTCTGCAGCAATGTTTAGGTTGTTCATATCAAATGTGAGATGGTTGGTTGCTCCAGAATCTGGATACCAGTAGGTGTCAGAGCCTGTTTCTGAGTTTTCAAAGTTCATCATGTTGACTGAGGGATTTGTGGCTTGCTGTGAGCTTTCCTGAGGTGGGGAGTTGAAGTTCTTGGGAACCAAGTTCAGGTCACTTCTGAAATAACACCTCTCAACTGTGTGATTATTGTAGTGACAAATCTGACATCTCACTTTGCCATTGTTAAATGATATGCCTCGACCTCTTAAGTTTCCTTGCCTTCCTCTTCCTCTTGCCTGAAATCCCTGGTTTGAGCCTCTCCCCCTTTGCATTCCTTGAAAACCTCCTCTTTTGAAGTTGGTGTTGTGGCCTTGTGCTGCCAAATTGACTGAGAATCCAGTTTCTTCATTATGGGAAGTATATCCTTCTGTGGCTTCAAGCCTACTCTCAAAACTCAATAAGATGGAGTGAACTTCTCTCAGTGTGCAAGGCTCAGATCTAGAGGCAAGGGAGACCATGATAGCATTGTACTCAGATCCTAGGCCTGAGATGATATGAGCTATTTGATCTGTCTCATCTATTTTTTGTCCTGCTGAGGCAAGGAGATCACAACATTGTTTGACCTTACTCAAATAATCCCTCATAGACAAATTTCCTTTCTTGAAAGTTTGAAGCTGTAGTCTGTACTGCATTATCTTTGCTTGATTCTGACTGGCAAAGGTAATTTTCAAGGATTCCCAGATTTCTTTTGAGGTTATGAGTCCCACAGTAGAGATTAAGACACTTTCTGAAAGAGAAGAAAGTAACCAAGATGCCAATAGTTGGTCTTGTCTTACCCAGGTAGAGAAGAGAGGGTTAGGAATGGCTCCTACATTGGATCCACCAGGCATGTACTCTGCTGGTTTTGATAGAGATCCATCTAAGTATCCCATGAGTCCATAACCTCTCACCGCTGCTAGAACTTGTTGCTGCCAAATCAGGTAGTTTGTATCACTCAGTTTGACAGTAATTAACTGACTTTGCAGTTGAACAACTTGATCTGGGTTACTGCTCGTGGCTGTCGAGATGGAACTCATCTTTGTGAGATTGGAACTGGAAATCCGATAGAAAGAGAAAACAAAACAGAAAGAAAAGAAGAAATAAAAAAGATGGTGCTCAGAAACAGGATGAAATCACCCTGCTCTGATACCATAAAGGAAAATCGAGGTATCCATAAAAGAAAAATAAGAAATATTTTTGTAAGCTTTCTTCATTGATGTAACATAGGAATATTTCCGGCTGCTACAGATCTGATGTGTTTCCTTAGATGAAACCACAGCTAATGAATATATATATATATATATATACTCTTTGAGAGCCAATCCTAGCCACACAATAATAACCCTAACAAGATAAGATAATATCTATCATTTACAAAACAGCCCTTGCTACTTTTCTCTCTCTCTCTCTCTCTCTCTCTCTCTCTCTCTCTCTCTCTCTCTCTTCGTGCATGTGCTCATTCCACGTCTGCATAGCATGGCGGTCTTCTTTCTCTTTTGTTGCTGATGTGGAATTAATACTAGGACTTTTACTAGCTTGCTCACGCGTCAGCTGGACTCCGTCATTTGAAAAGGATAGATAGTGGGGGTGTGAGCATAAAATCCACGTTCTCCGCTGAAACCGGCACTGATTATACAACACAAATAATAGCAAATAATGACATCAGCATATATAAAAATAAATTGGCTATTTGAGATTACAGGAGTCTCTGGTACTCATGTGCACACTCTTGGGGTCTCCTCCCACAGAAACCCAGCAAGGCTCGCTCACCTTCATCTGGGCGCTCGACTTCGGATGTGCCCCCTCACAACACATCCAAGTCATACTAATTTGACGCAGGACATACACGCTCATGCATCTTGGTCCTTAATCTACTCACATACATACCTCCGACAGGATAAGCAGTTATAGACGATGTAATACACAGTACAAGGTCCCCACCTAATAGCTAGATTCAAGTGCTGGAAGAGGATGAGTAGCTAGCAGAGGCTCAACTCTCTGTAAGCTACAAAGATATTTAAGCAAATCTATTATAAGTATACATGTCAACTTGAAAAACTCAGTTCTTGAGTATCTGATCTTACTAGGTTCGCTCGCTCAGTTTTAAAAACATTTAAATCTCATTTTCTAGTCTAACTTTAACAGCCAAGTTAAAAAATTTCTTTCTTGAGGCTGTCTAGGGTTCTCGAAAAATTTCTAAGTCTGGAACTAATATTCTGACTTGATCTTGAACTGACTCAGTTCGGAAAAATGCTTAAGTCTCGGCTCACGCTCGAACCGGAATTCCGAACCAGAAAATCTTGAACCGTCCAGACTGCCCGAACTGGTTCAGCTGGATTGGACCGCAGCTCGCTCGAAACCGGACGGTCGCTTGATGGCTAGGTACTGCTCGGTTCGACACACAAGAATTCTCAAGCAAATGAATCCAGGTACGTTTTCGCTATTATTTGTTGATTCTTAACAATTTGACATGATTGGTTTTGAGATTGGACAAATTTTGTTTCAGGTTTATATACCAATAGACTTTGCTCAAGAAATTGGTTTTCTATATTTTTAATGGTTATGAAAATGCAACGGTGGGAATTTGGGTAGCACTCGGTCTAATTTTGAGGCGTATTTTGGCCAAATTTTTTGGAACCTTTACCAACGATCTCAACGAATCCTAAAATAATACTATTAGTGAAATAAAACAAATGTTAAATAAGCCGAGTCGTGATCTTTAAAATGGTATATAATTTGTTGAAATTTTCCACTAGAAGCGGCAGCAGGCAACGAAAGGTGGAGACCGTCAATTTTAACAATTTTTTTTTTTTATTTTTTTACGTTTGGACAAATCCACTAATTTTGATAAATAGTATGGTTGAGTTAAAGTTGAATTAAATTTGAGTTTTGATTGAATTTTTCTCTTGTTGAAACTATAAACAATCAACCCCTTATTAACTAAAACTGAATAAAGTTGGAGTGAAGTGCTTGCGGTAGTGGCCAGGAAAGATCAACTCGCACGACAGGTAAATATCACGTAGAAATGTTTAACTTTATTATCATACATTGAGGGCATTTTTAATCGTGAAATAAACTATTCAGTAAACCTATCTGCACAATCTATTTTCTTTCATTCAACAGCAGAGTATGGAAAATGAATGACCCAGAAAAATTCAATCATAAATTGATAATTCACTGTCCTACTCTAAGGAGGGTGTATTCAATTGAGACTTTTAAGGACTTTTTAAAACTTTTTAAATTTGATGACTTTTGTGGACTTTGTAAAACTTTCATGACTTTGGTGGACTTTTTGTAACTTTCAGAGAATTTTCATCAGTGACTTTTTAAGACTTTCATAATAGACTTTTTAAAACTTATTGAGACTTTTATATACATGCAGTTATAATATTATGTTTGAATAAAATATTAATAAACGTAACAAAATAACTAATATAAACAAGAATAAATGAAAAAACAAAAAGATGTTGTATATATTAATCCTCTAAAAATTTATGAATAAACTCATTTTTATGCGACATGAGTTATTCACAAACAAATTGTTTAGGATTAGATTTATTAAACGAGTAAATCAATCCGAGTTTCAACGAGTCGAATCGAGCAGGGCCTTATATTTGTTTGTTAAAAGAGTACAAGGTCAAATATGTGTGAGACATATCTACTATAACGACACTTATAATCAACTCAAATTAAGATATATTTATTTAATTATTTATTGATTTTATTTTTTATATTTTTTGCATAATGTTGTTATATTAGAAAAATATTATTAGGTTATATTTTTACAAGATACAAACATGCCAAAAAACAGTAATTGTATCTTATAAAATTATCAATAATATTCAAAACACTTCATTATTAACAAATAAACTATTTGAAAATAAAATATTTTTTTTAATATTTTGAGATAAACATTTACAAATAAAAAGAAAGAACAAATAAATTATTTGCAAGTGCAACTATGGAAGCATTAACCTTTGAAAGTCAAATTCACAAGATAGCAAAATGAGAAAATAAGGTATACACACATAAAATAAGCATAATAAAGAATATATAAAATAAAAAGATCACAATAATATGTAATGAAAATAAAACTTACACAAGGTATCAAAATAAGTAAGTAATAGAGCATGAAAATGATATGGGATACAAAGTCGTGTTAGAAAGAAAAAAAAAAGAGCGTGAAAAGAGTCACATAAGTCCAGCAAAATCTCACCAATATTGATGAGATTTCTGTAGAGACTTTTCCTTTGTAATTTTGTTACAAAAGTCTCCAAAAGTCTCAAAATTTAAAAAGTCTCACAAAGTCTTTCTGTTTTGAATATAGGGTGACTTATAAAGACTCTCAGAATGTTTTAATTGAATACCTTGGGACTTTTAGAGACTTATTAAAAGTCATTAAAAGTCTCAATTGAATACATGGAAACTTTTCATAAGTCTTTAAAAGTTCTAATTGAATACACCAGAATTCTAAAAGTTTTAAAAAGTCTCTAAAAGTTGCAATTGAATACAACCCCCTAATCAGCTATAAATATCTAGATTAATTACAAAAAATACCCCAAATCTTAACCTAATTACAACAAACCAAAGAAGCTTAGTACTATACTATATTAACGTGTAAATTAATTTGGAACATAACCTAACACACTTTGCAATTGGACCAAACATCCGGGGCGACTTTTGTAATTACGAAAACATTCCTTCATCTAGAACAAACAGGCTCTTCTACGATCGTATCCAAACCCGGCCTTTTCGACCTGCACGCCGCCAGCCGCCGGTGGCTGAACTCCAGCGCCGCCTCCTCCAATCTCAATCCACGCCGTTCCTCCCCAACCGCGTTCGACGAATCCGGCGACACTCTGCCCGAGCTCGCCGCGGTGGAAATCCGCCTGGGCGCGGCGTTCGCCGCCATCAGAAAGACGGCGACATCGGCGGCGGTGAGGATCGAGTTCAGCCGCCGCATCGGGAGCATGACGTAGAGTCTCCCGAACTCCAGGTCCTCGTCGGCCGGGAGCGGCGACACCCGCCGGCCGATGCCGAAGGAGACGGAGTCGACGAGGAAGTAGTTGGGGGAGTCGAGCATGAGCTCGGCCGCCTTGACCGGCTGCCGGAACTGGCGGATCTCGCCGCCGGGGAGAATGACCCTGGCCGATTTGGGGCTCCTGAGGCTGGACGCGACGAAGGTGCAGGACATGTAGTTTCCCATGGCGATTTCAAAACGAAAATTTACTGGAATTTTTCTGTTATTTTGGGGGAGTTTTTATACAGTAGTGGGGAAAGTTGGGTTTATGCGTGTTAGGCGTGTTGCCGGTTTGTTTTTGTTGGGCCAATTGGGAAGTTGTTGTTATGTGAATAAATAAATAACTACAACAATGCCTTTGCTGTGAGGAATAATAATTAAAAATACTGGCAATAACTGTAATACATGGGAGTCCGTTACGAAATTATTCTGTCCGAGTTTGCAATCATTAGATCTAACTATTCCGGACAGTTACATGATGATTTAACGGTTACAAATCTGACAAAATGATTCTGTTACGGAACTACATTTCCCGTAATATATAATAAGTATGATATTCTTTTTCTAGGTAACTCAAAACATGTGGTTTATAATCATTGTTACGCTTACAGTATGACACAAAGTCTTGTGTAAGATAAATTAATCGAGTTAAATCTCCATTATAACATGTAAGCAAAAAAAAAAAAAAAAA